GCCTTAGATAACCTGATCCACCAGAGCACAGTAAAACTCACCAGAACTACTTTTCCCTGAACGTGTTCCTGCATTGCGGATTGACAATGGACCACTGGGCTCAGAAGTTGTCTCAGTGCTACACAGAGTCTGTGGGAAAATACATTAATAGATAGGAAGTGAAGTGATGTTGTATGCACACAGTCCTGTGCCTCAGTATGGATCTTAGACGGGTTATGTGAGCTTGTGCTGCCCTCTAGTGGAGGTGAAAGTTTACTGCGTCAGTTGATCACATGATCCCTGGAAGCTGACATGTAGCAAGTTCATGAAGTCTTTTTTTTGCCTGCTTGCTCCTATAAGGGGTCACAATAGGCAGGAGAGTATCCAAGCATGCACTGGGAAGCACCCTGAAACTCCCAGTCAGCCATGAATCAAACTGAGGCTTTCTTATTAAACTTATATAGAAATTTGACTTGCAATAAGGTGAAGGTAAGATCATCTATGCCAACCAGTGGGTATCCCTGACATTGCCAGTCTTGTGTTGGCAGACAATTGATTACACATCCAGCAGACACAGATCAACACTTGTGCTTCTGGAGTCGGGTCTTTGCCACCAGACCTTTAGCAGCTAAACGCTCCACTAGGTTCACCAGTCACTAGCTGTGTCTGTCTGCAATTTGGAGCTGAGCAGGGAGTGGACAGAGGATTTTAAAACTTCTTTTGCAAAATGAACAGCTACCAAATCTTATATTAAGATATAGATTCTTAAATTCAGTTAAATAAAGTGACTACAATACTTATTTCAATAAGCTTTGTCTTGAATAATTATAACCAGAGTTTTCATTGTTTGAAATGAGCACAACTTGTTTTAACTTTTGGCATTTTTTCTAGTTTTAAGGCCCATTACAGTCTTTCAGTGGCAAGGTTTTATGCTAGTTTTAAGAATTCTAGCCAAGCAAAATTGGCTTATCCCTCTGGCAGATTGTTTTCGCTCAATACAAGAAAATTGGATCATATTTAAGAATATCTTTCTGGTTTCTAGAATGGCTGTTTCTGCAGTGTATTTATGACATTACTGCCATATAGATAATAAAATAGCAAAAAAAATAAAACAAATTTTAATCAGATATTTTCTGTATGCACAGTTAAAGCAGGATTCTGGGCATTCAGGACATTTGCAGGTAGCAGCAGCCTTGATCAGATATCTATTCATTTAAACACCAGTCAACACTACTTTAGTAGACTTTAAATGACACTGAGGGCATTCTTTAGTATTATAATATATCCACCCTGCTATCAATGAATCTTTCTCATTGTGTTGAATACTTGTAGCAGCCCAAACTTTATGTACACAAGCTTCAGTCAACACCAGAGGATGCTGTGGCTCACACAACCTCTACAAATACAGAGCCACGTTACCTGCACTGCAGGAACAGGGACAAATACACTCTATGACCTGCACTAATGACCATCATGAGCAGGTTTGTTAAGGTAAATACAAGTTTTATATTCCATATGTGTTTAAATGAGAAAGAATGTACCCAGTTTATACATTTACACTTTTGCACATTTATAAAAACAACCAAAAGGCATCAAGTTCAATTGATAGATACAGCTACAATATATAGCTACAACTAATGCTTTGTCAACTTTCATTACGTGCTGACCCTGAATCAGTCCGTAACATACACATGACTCAACACTTTTGAAACACATTGTGAAGTCACATCAGTGTGTTCTTTTTCACAGCAACCATTTTGACATGCAATATTAGGGTAAACACAGATGTTACCAATGGTACTAAATTAAGATTCTGTTCCATTCAGGTCAAACAGAGTCAGGGTGCTATTCTGCTTGTTGGCTCACTAGAAAGGTTCTCCTCCACTAAATGGAACAGAGCCTTAATTAGTATCATTGGTAACACCTGTGTTTACCTGAATATTTCATGTCCAAATAAATGGCTGCTATGAAAAAGGTCTATTGTCAAAGCAGCATTTAGGGGTTTAGTGCCTTCCTCAAGGCCACCTCTGAGTGTGATTCAGGGACATGACAGCATTTCTCAATCCTTTCACCATCCTGAGCAGATGATCTCAACCTCCCAGCATCAGAGCAGCTACCACCTACCAGCATCAAACCTTTCAGCTGCTGCTGCCCCAGGATGATATACTGCCATGGGATCCTGCTCATCTCCAGTCAATGCGTGTGAGTGGCTACTGTATCTTTTCAATAGACGTTCCAAATGATATGGCCATAACAGATGCAGGTCATGAATCAAAGGTCCTAAACCACCCGGCTAGCTGATGTGTTCAACAGGTGCTACTGTCCGATCTCCTCTGGATACACAACCTGGAGGCACCACATAGAAATACAGACAGAGTCAAGGAGGCTCTACTGTCCTGCTGTCTGCTGTCTGCTGTGTACTTTCTACCTAGTGCAGGTCTACATCTGAGCCTTGCATGGACCACACTGACTATTCCTGCCTTGTGTGAACTGAGCTCGTGAACGCAATGACCCCATCAAATCAACAAAGCCTGAGAGGAAGGAGAGGAAAAAAATATGTGAGCAAAAATTCTGCACAGCATATCAAAGCATAACTCGTGTACCTCTTTACTTGGCCCAACTCAAATTAGAAAAGCATAAAAGTGCTTCAAAAATAATGATCACACATGTTTTGAATATGCTGAATTTTAATTGATAATAAATTGTACTTTTGTAGACCCCAGACTACGCATTGAAGTGGTTAAAGGTGTTTTTTTAATGGACATAGGCTGGAACATCAGAGGAGAAGAAAAATAATTCATGGCATTTGAGGTTGTTTTGTGGAGTTTCAGTTTGATAATTGAGCTAGTTCCCTCAGCTGAACTGTAGGTTGCACCTATGAATGCTATAAAATTCACCAATTGGAGTCAATCCAAGATACATAAGGGGGACAATAGTGTGCACATATGTACCACTAACAACCATTAAGAAACCATAAGTATGCGTCTGTGGTTTAGAGAGACCCCAATCCAGTGGTTCCAAAGCTTTTTGGCTGATTGCTTCAAATGTTGCAAAGTGGGGCCTATCTGTAGCTTTGCCCTTAAACCAAGAACCACAATGTCCCCAGTTTGAGTCCAGCTGCAGATCTTTGTTGCATCTCTCTCTCATTTCCTGGAGTCCCTATTTAATGAAATGCCCATAAAATAACAATTTACAAAAATGTTGTAGTCTGACTCCTGATCACCTGTTATGGTCTCTGTGTGAGTTGTGCTCAGTTCAACCAACAAGATTAGATACAGTCACTCTGAGGGTTTTATAGAGGCCTGAAGAGTTGAAAGTGTTAAGTACTTCACAAAAGTACTTTTTGTCATTCAGGTAGTGTACTCAGGTAGGCAGTTAACTTGAATGTATCATGTAAATGTAAAGATAAACTGTATTATATCATCCTGTAAATAAAAATACAAATAATTTCTCCTCTAAACCATCCCACTCAACCACCATCTACCCATGTCAATCTCCAAACTATCTCACTTACCTCGCTACCCCAGGAAATACCAAAAATAAACATAATATACGCACTGCAATAGAAGCCCATTTCTGCCAAGAAAAGAAAAAAACAAATATTCATGGTAAATCAGAATTATTAGATGGTAAATCCAAATTATACTGAATTAAATACAAAATTATGAGTAACTTCAAATTTGGACTCATTTCACTTATGGTAACCTATAATATTGACTTACAAAAAGTATTTCGATTTTTGGACGTAAATATATACATACATGCAGAAAAGCATATGCCAGTATACGCATGGAATCTACAGATGTACCATACATAGACATACACATATATAAACCAAATAATTACTTGTTTGCATGTCTAAATGCATGCCTGTTTGACCTTTTTGATATTATCTTGGCAGTGTCCCAAACTCAAGATTGGGCACCACTCAATCTCTGAATAACCCTAATGCCCATGTTTTCCCCTATTATTCACTTATTAGTCATTATTTCACCTATTTAAGATATTTCTTTATATTGTATTTTATTTGGTCAAACTCCTATTTTTAAAGCAGCATTTGGGACAGTACTCACACAGGATCATACTAGTTTATTTTTAGTGTTCAGGATTCATATTCTGTAAAAGCTGCAATTATTTATTCACCAAAGCCAGCAGTACATAATAAGACATTATTAGCTTCAGAATTAGCTGTATTACAGAACCAGTTCAACCCACTGACCTCATGATGTGCGCAGGAACGATCAGTGTGTAAACTCTAGATAAAACTACACAAACTGTGTTCTTAGTGTGTATTGAAAAGTGATAAAATAGCTGGCAATGAAAAGAATGTTTGGTAGGTTTGTGTTGTTGATATGTTGTTTATATTGCTTTCTGATGTGCTCCAAGGTGCTGCAGATCTAATATTTCTCTGCTCCAGAGCCTCAACAGCTGCTGAAGTGCAGGTCTGAGCTCCCTGGTGGTTTTGCCAGTAAAGGAACACCGTACATGGGCTGATCTCCCGCCTCCCTCGCCACTCTGGATGGGAGAAACAGAATCTCATCTGGGAAGTAGAACACCCTCGTCGAAACCCACCAAGGCCTGTTCCTAGTAACCCAGAGACGCCTGCTGGCACGGCATGAAACACATAACTCTTGTATGGGAGTGGATCTGAGGTTTACAGCTTGAGCTCCTTACCCAATTAGACTGGATCATGGAGGCAAAACAACGTTTTTACAATGCCACAGGGGTCTTTAGAATGGATGGGTTCTGTTTGGGGAATGGGGTAGGGGGGCAGGGTGGGCTGGGGATATGCTATTCCCATGTCTCTTTTATCACAGCCTGTCAGATTAACCACACAGGTACAGGGAGCTTTCTGTCCAACAGGTACAGAGGCACCAAAGCCAACAAAATTTAACTTAGATTGGTCACTAAAGTCATTGTGTACCCGTTTCTAAAGGCTTCAAGAGATAAAACAGTCTGCTCTAAAATGAAAATATAATTCAATATTACATATGAAAAAAGATCAACAAAAGGAGAATGAAGAAAATCCAAAATCTTTATTTTCTTCACGCATTACTATAAAATTATACAAAATGCCACTTAGTTTCAGACAGAATGTGAAGTACAAAAGCAAGACAAAAGAAAAGCTTACATGATAATAAATAGCCAAAAAAGTAAGAGCAAGTAGATACAAAAATAAATGACTTATTGTGAGAAAATGTGGTGGTTAATAAAATATATTACAACTCATTCATTTGGATGAACCAAATCTACCTTGTTGTACTGTATGCACAGGTTTATGGATGTATTTATACAACATGAAAACAGAAATATAGGGTAAATGAACTAAGAGTGTGCTCATATCAAAAGTGCCAGGAGGAAATACCGCTGGTAAATAAAAGAATCAAAAGTTTTGTGACAGTTAAATTATGTACATAACGACTCAATCGTGTCTGTTTTGTGCTTCAGTGCAAGTCTGCAATCTCCATTTCTAGTGGAGGCAAGAAAGGGCATGAGGGGAGAGTCTGGGGGATTATGGTAACAAGAGGATCATGATGGATGTCTCATGGTATTTCAATCAACACCAATGGCTGCACCATAACAGAAAAACTCTGCTGCGAACAGACCACAAAAAAAGACATATGACAGGGTTCCTCATGAGGAACTTCTGAAAACGTTCGAAAACAGAAAGAAACCCATTAAATGTAGTAATGGTCCTAATTCAAAACATTACTGCAAATAATGTTCAAAAGATAACAGCCTGCTGGAGTGGAGTCAGGTTTTAACACTATATCCCTAACCCTAACCCTAACCCTACTGAGGGCTGTTGGTGATCGCTTTGAGAATGTCACACGTGTTCTTAGAGATGACCTCTCTCAGCTTCCGTATACGACGAGGGCTGGAAGCCCCCACGTAGCTCTCCGGCTGAAGGACGGCCATGCCATCGTTGGCGTTGCCCATAATGATGACCTGTCCCTCTGCGGCGGCGCCCGTGATGTTCGGGCATGGGCAGTTCCAGTCCATGTTGAGGAAGGTGACCTCAAGAGGCTCCTTCCCAAAGAAGCGTAAACCCATCTTCTCATCCTTGAGGATCTCTTCCACAGTCACAAGGGCGTGGCCAGAGTCCTTCTCCTCTGTGAGCTCCGTCATGCGACCCAGGATGACAAAGTCGCTCCGGCAGAAGCTCGTCACCATCTTGCCTCTCGGCTTGCAGGCCTTGCAGTGGTGGTTTTTTGGGTAGGGGCACATTTCCTCACAGGCTTCTTTAGATTCAAAGTTGTTGTCGTTGCCCTCACATCCTCCGTAGATAAAGGACTGACACTGCTGTAGAGTGGCACTGTAAGCCCAGCGTGGCTCGTAGGCCTTACAAGGGCCCTGCAGGCTGGGGAGCCCGCAAGGGCCTGACAGCTCTGGACCGCAGCACTGCATACACTCCTCGTATGTCTCAAATGCCTTCCTGAGCTGCTGGCTGTTGTTGTTGCTCTGGCAGTGGGTGAAGGAGAAGCAGTTGTTGGTCTTGGGCTCATAGTACCAGCTGACTTTCTCCAGGTCATGCCCACAATCCTCTGTGCTATCAGGGGGTTTCAGACATTCTTCAGGCAGGCAGCGGGTCACATTCTTGGGCTCGGGGGTCTTGGGTGGCTCTGTGGGCAGCACAGTGAGTGGGTGGTTGGCCTGCACTGAGCCAGACGGGTTCTGAGCCGTGCAGGTGTAGATGCCTGAATCATGCGGCTGGGCATTGTAGATGACCAGCTGACCGATGTTAGTGACCACCATATTCCCTCGCACATGATTAGGCCTCATGACTACCCTCTCCACCCCAACTGGCAGTTGCTTCTCCCAGGTGATCTCAGGACGGGGACGACCTGTCACGTCACACAGGAAGCTAGCGGTGTCACCCACATTTACAGTCTGGTAAGCAGGGCTGCTGACCATGACGGGCGGCTGAGGCTCAGTGGGAGGTGGGATAGTTGCCTGAAGAGGAGCAGTGGTAGGACGAAGGGTGGTCGCCTGGGGCAGCGAAGGGCTGGTGTTGGGCCAGGTGAGATGGAAGCGGCAGGTGACGACAGATAGGGTGATGCCCTTGGAACACGCCTCTGCGTCCATGTAGCATTTGTTGTAGTAGGTCATGCCGTCAGAGGCGCAGGTAAAGTGCGGCTCCCTCTCGCAGCGGTCCCGGCACTTACACACCGGCTGGCCGTCCCAGATGTCACACTCAGACCCCTGCTGGGTGCACATAAAACTGGCACAGGTGGCTTCCTTGGGCATTCCCATAGGGCCTTTCTTCCCGTCGATGTAACGGGCTGCCACACAACTCCGATTCCCACACACATTTTGGCAACATTTCTCAAAGGACTCACACTCCTGTAAGAGGAGAAGAGAGACATTACAGATTCAGGAGGCTACATGCATCTGGAAGGTATTTTCATAAAGTCAACAATGATACAATAGACAGAAGAGAGATTGAATTAAATTTAGATAAGATGGAGAGATGCAAGTGGATAAAAACATGTCAAATATCATTTTTAGAATACAGAAATTTCTTGCAAAATAAGTTCACATATAAAAACTGTCAAGTAGTTCAGGATATTTAATTCTAAAAGGTTAATTAAATACTTTACCTGATCAGATTCACACTCTCGGGTACAGGTGCTCATGGCATCCACCCACAGGTTGGGGTTCATGTCATTGGGGCAGATCCCCGCATGTGAATAAGTGATATTGGGCAGAACTCCGACCTGGTGCTCCATCCACACTGACACACACGCCAGGAACCAGATCCACCGTGGAAACAACATCCACCACATCTCCAGAGCTGGACACAGTTTTTTTGTTTTTTTAAAAAGTTTTCTTTGATCAGGTTTGAAAGTTTTCTTTGGAGCAAACTCCACTTCTCTGAATATGAAAATAGGTGAAACGACGACAAAAACTCAAAAGCGCATCACACGTGTGTGAGTCTGCAGGTCCGGACGCTGTGTGTCAGCTGATTGATCCAGTTTGGTGTCTCACTTCTGCGGCGATGATGCTCTATTTATACTGCCGGTCTGCAGCCATCACCGCCGACATCACTCGCCAAGTTTCGACTAACATGACAGTTACGAGTTGCTCCTGAGATGCTGGAAGAACCTTTTTCAGAAGTCAGTGGTGTGCTTTGGGCTGGGACTGGCGGGGCACCTGCCTGTTAAAAGGATTGCTGGTAACCCCGTTTAACCCTTTGCGGGCTCCAGCGGCGCCAGAGCGCACTGTGCGCAAAGACGCACGGAGAGAAAAGACTCAAAGGCAATTTGTTGCTTTAAAAAACAATATTATTTAACGACAAGGCGAACTAAAACCACATGTTCAGTTAATACAAACCGACCATGTTTAATTCAGCCGTTTTAGTAACAATAATTAGAAATGATGCCGCACATGTACACACATTAACTATACTTTAAATATATGCATGATGGTGTGTTATTCATATTTAGAAACTTTTTTTATATGTAACTATGTAAATCAGTATGTGTTTACTTACCTGATGAAAGAATAGAATAACAGAAGGAATTAAATGAAATAATAATTGAGATTGTTAATATATTTAATTCTCATCATTTCAACATATTTGTTTTTGCACTTTTTAAAAACCAAATTCTGTGCTGAAATTCTGTTTAAATTTGACCACTTTTATTACACTGAATCCCCTCCTGGATAATACACATATTTTTGGATACATGTAGATTAAATCCCACAGGAAATGTATGAGGATGTGCTTGACAAACATCAAAGAGATTCATATATATAACTACTACTTTCACATTCATAACACATCTAACAAAATGAGAAGTGGGAAGATTATAATCTGTAGAATTGGCAAGAATAAAAATAAATAAATACAGGTTTAAATGATAATAAGAAATATGTTCAAATAAATAAATTTTCTCCTCACTTTGGTGCATTACCTCAGACAGTCCACTGATAAATGTGAGAGCTGCTTTTTTAAAGAACTGATATTCAGAGCTTCCTGTAAAAAGTCTTACTGATTAGATTATACTGAATAGATAATTGTATATTAATAATAATAGACTGAATAAACATTTGCCTTGGCCTTTCACACATTGTAGCTACAGAGTTTTACTATGACAGATTTTTTTCCTTTATGCTAATTGCTGTGCAAAAGATTTGAATTACTGTCAATTCAAGTCTGACATCAGCTGTTTAAAAACCTCACAGTAAGTTCAATTCTGCCGATTCAAAGACCTACAGAGGCATGTTTTTCCTGTCTCAGCTGTACCTACAGTACATGTGACCAATGATACAAGGCTGCTGCTGTACAACAGTTTCCATTCTTCCACCAGCATTCAGCCGTAGACTTAAACATGCTCTACGTCTTACAAAGCATGTCTTTGTACACAGCATTAGTTGGGTCATACAACTACTTTGTGTGGATTTATGGAAATGTACAGACACACAAATTCCAAATTAAAACTGCTGCCGATACAGGCAGTAGGACATTATATTGACAAGAAAAGCTTAATTGTAACATTATAACAGGTTATCACCTAACACTCAAGATTTCATTTATGAGTCTGGCTTCATACCGAGGACTTAAAATAGCAAACACAACTCTTGATTACAACCCTTTTCAAATCTGATTCGTAGGCCAGCAGAGGTGAGATGAGGACAATACAAGTAAAAAGATGTAGTGTGTGTGTGTGTGTGTTGAAGATCAGGTGATGTGCTCCATACAGTGGGCGTGTGCATTGGCAGAGCTTTTAATGAATGAAGGTGTTATTATAATTTGCGCCGCTCATTCCTTTCCTGTGTAAACTACTTCGACTGGTTTCCTCCACAGTTCAGCTGAGGACAGGGGAGCTATTAGACCGCCTCCCAGTGCAATAACAGTGGACTCCCGCTGTGTCAAAGTGTTGGTGCAGGAGATTGTTTGTTCCTGATGCAGACATGGTGATTTTTTGTTTATGTGTGTGTGTGTGTGTGTGTGTGTGTGTGTGTGTGTGCGCATGACAAGCAAATAAATAAAACCTGTTTATCTCGAGCTTGCTGAGCTTCCAGAGCTGCAGGTCTCAATCCTGTAAGAAGGATTATATCTGCTCTCTTTCTCCAATGACAAACAACATTCTGCATGTATGATTAACTGTATCAGCTTATTTTAACAGGTATTTACTGTGTGTCGGGGTCTTTCCAGTGATTTATGAACTGACTGCAAACCCTACAATCTTGTACTTCTCTTATCTGGTCACTTTTTCTGCAAAAATTCCTCGGTGACACACACAGACTTTTAGATGTAAATTTTAAGAGCTCAAAAGGGGCGGATCTAGTGGGGTGGCACCCCTAAAAATGCCTGGCCACCCCAGCTGACACCCTAGTTTGACAAATTTAACACATTAATTTAGATACATTTAAAAAGGAATGTGTTAAAAAACATAAATGTATTATTGATCTCGTAAAGACACATTTTAGACTTTAGAAGTTCAATAAAAAAAAGACATGTATTTGAAAAAACAATGTATTGATTCCTAATGCCATGATTTACTAATGTACCACAACTATGTAATGTTTTTGAGTTCAAATATCTTCATTTGGGAGCTTTTACAAGCAAATATTAATATATGGGATTACTTGCGATAAAATCAGCATATATTTCTGAGACCCCTTTAAGTCTCCATGCCACCCTCTTGCCACACCATGAATATTTCTCTAGATCCACCCCCGGAGTTCATATTGCTGACATAAATAAAGTCAAAATATATCCTGTCACTTCCCCCAGGAAGAAGTCGGCTCACCTCACACGGCCCTCACACAGTCTGAACCTGTCATGTACAAATGACACGTTTCATACGGAATTAATAAACTCCTGTCAAACCCAGTGAAGACGGATACATCTCGGGGCTACAGATGCGTACGAAATGATAGGCTTATTATTTTTCACTCAGGAAAACATCAACACACAGGGCTTTCAGTGGAATAAAATAATAGTATACCCTGAAAAGCACAAAGTCATCCAATGGCACGTCCTCAGGCGAGAGGTTATTTGAGGATTCGAGCTTCAATAAAAGTAACAGCTACTAGGAACTTTCCTCAACCACATTCCTGTGTAGTTTGGAGAACGAAACCACACACCAGTGAATTTACATAAGATATGAGATCCATTTAAAGAGCAAGTTTGTGGTCCTCAGTCACCAGCTTCAGTCCAGTGTCAAACTCAACAGTTCCACGAGCTCAGACATGAGACTATTAAGCATCCAATAATGAGCTTATTGTACCCTGTAGTGTGCATTTGCAGTTCAATCAGTGGTTTGATTTGTTTTTTGTGGCACAAATTCACTCCGACATGAGAACCAAAAAATATAAAATAAATCAAACTATAAATAACATATTACACAACGGAGGATTAATGCACAACCCTAAAGCCAAATTTGCTTTCTTGCAGTGAGTTAGATGAGAAGAGTCCACTGTCATATCTGTTCAACAGAAATCGACATCCGGCAGCCAGTTAGCTTAGCTTAGCATTACGATTGGAAAAGGATTATCAGCTACCCTTGCTTCAGCAAAGACTTCCACTTCAGGTAGTCACTGCTCGTGCCCAGTAAAGAGTCCAACACCCCTGTTACACTTTAATGTTTTAAACAAACAACATCTAACGTGATAATTAGTGAGCTTTAGAGATTGATAACACTATGATGTCATTCTGTTAAATATGGAGCTACAGCTAGCAGCCTGTTAGCTTAGCATAAAGACATAAACAGCTAGCCTTGTTCTAAGGTAACAAAATCCCCCTACCAGTACCTCTAAAGCCCGCTGGTTAGCACGTTATACGATGTAGCTCCCGTTGCCAAGTCGTAACTAAGGTTCGTCCTATATATGCCCCTCGATAATGGGCCCCTTCTCCGGCATTATTCCTTACATATCCTTACATAAACTCGTTTATATACTTCAGTTTTTTAAAAATGTTTACAAATGACATGTAGTGTAACATTTTAACCAGCGGCTACCTCTAGCATCATGTGTATGACGATAACTCTCAGTAGGCTATTCCTATAAACTATTCCTTTAACCAATTTAATTATTTAAAATGTCCTAAACTTAAATGGTTTCCTTTTTTAAAAATCAGAAATGTAAGGTATCGGTATATTTTGGGTCGGTCTGTCCTCATATGGTACAATGAATGAGAAATTCACCTCATTTGTAAATGAGCCAGCCAAAAGGAAAGATGGAAAATATAACTCCTGCGGACCAACCCGGGCTCCAATTTTTATTTTAAAATATTCTATAAGTTTATGAAGAATAGTCTTGACATTTGGGGAAACACACTTATTCGCTCTCTTGTCAAGAGTCAGACCAATCAGAAGATTGATACCACTGCCATGGTTGGCATGCTAAATATAAAGCTAGCCCATTAGCCTGTTAGCTTAGCTTTGCACGAAGAGTGGAAACAAGGGGAGACCGGTAACCTGGCTATGGACAAAGGTAACAAGATAAACAAATTGAATACAACGTGTTTATTAGTGAGCTTTACAGGTGCTGGTAGGTGGATTGTGTTACCTTTGAACAGAGCCAGGCTAGCTGCTAAGCTAAGCTAACTGTCCGCTAGCTTCATAGCGTACCGATTTGAGAGAGGTCTTGACCTTCTCATTGAGCTTTTCAGCAAAAGCTGATATGTGTGTTTCCCACAATGCTGAACCATTCCTTCAACCTTTACAGACGACTGTGTGTGTGGTCCAAATATAGCAAAAGAACATCAAGGAAGCCTATCAGGTTGGTATTCACAGACGTAACATTGAGCAACAACGTTCAGAAAGAAGAACAAGGAGCTTCTTGCTTTGTCACTGCGTTCCTGCGCCTGCAGCACAAACTGATGGGGCAAGTCAGCAGCCGGCCAGAGCCAAACCTCCCTGCCATTTCATGCAGCTTTGCCCATAGGCAGGGACATTACTGAGCAAGCTGGCAGCCGAGCACTGATTCATCTCGGGCCATCAGTATCTGTCAGTTTTTTTGCATGTCGGAGAGACAAAGAGAGTGTGTGTACGGCCTCGGTAATTGGAGGAAAACATTGAGAAATGCTAACCGCAGTTTCTTCTGTAGAACATCAGGCCGTGGTGTGTGTGTGTGTGTGTGTGTGTGTGTGTGTGTGGGGCAAGAGACATCTTGCTGCAGAGGGATCTGAGGTGAACTTGTCTTCTTAGTCCTGTCATGCTGCTGTACTCTGTCTACGTGTCTGTCTGTGTGTGTGTATTTCTATTTTGGATATCTTAATCCCAAATCAATCCTGAGAATTGCCATTTTCTCACCTCTAGGTGATGAAACACATCCTCCACGAACAATCCAGTCAGTATGTAAGTGTTAAACGATGCTAAAAGTTAATAAATTACAAAATACTGAGACCATGTTCATCTGTTTGTCTGAATAACTCAATTCAATTCATGTTTGTCCTTTTCTTTTACATAAAGATATATATTTTTTTTTATTGCCTATAATGGATAGTGACAGCTGACGATTGAGGGGGCCACAGGTCAGATTCAGACCCATACCTGCTGCAGCAAGGACTATGCACATTTGTCCTTCTCTGATGTTAAGGCGTTATCCTGTGTGTGGTTACTGCTGACACTATAGTAGTATAATAGTTATATTACATCACATGTGACCTGTTGTGAGAAGTTAAGGGTAAAAACTGTCCACAGACATCTTTAGTAAAGTTTACACTGCGTCATATACTGAGATACTGACTGACACAAGGTTTCAGTGAAGGGACTGGAGACAGAGGTCCTTCCCTGATTGACTGAGAGTGCCCTCTAGTGGATGACTGGAGGAATTACATTCACATTATTTTATTATATTTCATATATTTGTGTCTGCTCAGCTCGCCAGGACTGAAGGTTTCCATTAGGACTATTGTTAAATACACACTCACTTTATTGGGTACACAGATAAATATTTCCTTTATGAAGGTTTGAATGTTCCACTGTCGCACAAGTTTTGAAACGTATACTAATATTTGTCCTATCCTATAAATATAAATATATATAAATATATATATATATATACACACACACATCAGTGCCGGTTGTAGCTGCCAGTGCACTCAAATAAAACAGCCTTGCATTTGCTAGATGTATGTTACCTAGATGTAAGTTTTCCTGCTGGACACAAGATGTCTCCTCATTCACTGTAAAGTCCATTCTCAGTGGATGAGTACTGGTAGCTTCAAGTTTCTACAGGACACTCTACAATACTGGACAAACAACAAAGTTTCTTTTTCTTAATAATTCTATTGTAGCAAACTGCATTGTTTTTGCTTCTTTCAAGCTACAGAAATCTTGAGGATCTTTTTCACAAATGATTTGACATGATGACATGTTGTCAAGAGCTTAGGTCTAAACCAGCATACAGTGATGAGCTGATTTTAGTTTTTTATTTGTGATGGAAGGGAAAGGTGAAGCGAGGGAGTTGCAATCTGCAATCGCTAGTTGCTACTAAATCCAACACACTGGACCTTTAAATGAAAAACAAAAACTGTAGCAACAAAGTAAAATAAAACATTTTCTTTTGCATTATGGGAACTTTTACTTTTTGAATGCAGGACTTCAAATGAACTGTTTCTATAGTGTGGTATTTCTACTTTTATTCAAGTAAAGGCCACTGTTTGTTTGTGTTTGTTTGTATCTAGTCCTAGTTCTTCAGACAATGAGTAAACGCAGCACATCTTTCAAAGTCCAAACCTCCAGTTTGTCAACCAGATAATAATGTCATCATAACCTTGATGTGTAAAATCAGAGTGCCCCTTCAATTAACACATCTATTAGTTCTTAACAATAAAATGCCCGATTTAAAGACAACAAACATTGTTCTTCCTTTTTTTTAATAAAGGCATTTTCATATTTCATATTTTGGTGGTACAGAATTCAAGTTTTTTATAGATTTGGTTCACAAAAGAATCACATATTTAACTGAGCAAACTTCCCTAGATGAAACAATTCCTTAAAAAGTAGCTTAAATAATGGTACAGTACAAAAATAAGTGGGTGTATCACAAAGTGTATGTTTTTTTTCTTATGAGGAAAGTACAGTGGCACAGTATTTTTCTTTGTAGAAAAAATAAAATAAAAAAGTTCCTCCTTTTTTTTTTCTTTTCTTGATGTTAGTTTTGTAGCAGACAGCCGGTTAGAAAATGATACATTCACTGGCTTTCTTCATCCCGCTAGTAGAAGGCACTAAAGAGCAGACTTGGATTAACTAGTACTTGCACATATGGCTTGTTCTTTCATATTTAGATGCCAAAGAGACAATTTCCTCCCACACAGGACAATACAGTCAGTGCCAGAAACTTAAGACAATCACAGAGGAGTATGTATGCTGTGTTTGCACCTGCTAATTGATCCAAGTCTGCAAAGGAGTTCAGGCTTAAGTCAAAACCAGCAGTAAGTGCCCTGAAAGAAACTCTTCAGTTCCACTGCCAGCTCTGAAGCTCAGAGTCAGACTGAACGAAGCTGAGCTGATCCTCAACCCTGGTTTGTTACATTGGGACAAAAAGGCGGTTCTACTGTGTCAGTCCTGCATCTTTAGCCATGCCGTAGAAGATTCCTCTCTGTGATAGGAGGTTTGTGGGAGTGTCAAACTCAGCTATCTGTCCCTTGTCCAGCACCAGCACTCTGCAAGAAGAGAGAGGAGAGAAGGATTCATTCATGAAGCCTGCATCCTTTTTCATAACATGCTAAATGCATCTACATATGCATTTTAAGGTCAACTCCACCTTATTATGACTATGTCGCATATCATGTTGGCTTTTACTTGTTTTTAAGGCACTTCATGGTCTTGAACCAGCATACATGTCACACAGGCTCACAGTGATCACAATCCTCGGATTAATCGATTAATCGCTCTCGTCTATAAAATGTCAGTTGCTCAGTCTTTAAATGTATTCATTTGAAAACCCAAAGATATTTGATGATTTAAAGCAGAGAAAACTCCATATTTTAATTACAATTAAATGTATTACAAAGTACAATTAAGTGTACTTTGTGTTGTTTATAAATTCTTAGGATTCCATAATTACTACATGTTATTATTTCATTCTGTGGTGGAGCCATACTGCTTTTCTACTTCTACTTTAGTCCATATCCCAGAATGCTTTTTGACAATCACTGAGAAGATCCGAAACCTCAGTGGTTTCACTGTTATGTGAGTACTGCTTCTAGCTGACCACTGTTGATGAAGAAATGAGTGTCTCTGCTTCCTTTACAATAACTTGGAATCATGAAATTCATTATGATTCAGTTCTCCAGATGTTCTCCACTGGAGTGCTGCTGCAAATACTTTACCATGATGGCATGTCACGTACAACACATTAGTTTGAATGATTTACAGCTTTAAAGGTTTTGTGTTGGAGTTTTCCTTTAAAGCAAGTATTCATACACCGTATACTGAACCTTGTGTAATCCATGATGGTGTTGAGTCTGTGAGCGATGGTAAAGACGGTGCAGTCCTCAAACTGAGTCCGAATGGTGGACTGGATGAGATCGTCCGTCTCCAGGTCGATAGCAGCCGTAGCCTCATCCAGGATGAGGATCCTGGTCTTCCTCAGGAGAGCTCGAGCCAAACACACCAGCTGCCTCTGGCCCACGCTGTACATACAACAACACAGAGACAGAGAACCTTCAGTGTGTCTGGCAGCTACGACCTTTCATTCCAACGTTTATCTATTCCTCTGAGCCCACCTGAGGTTCTCTCCTCCCTCTGAACACTCCAGTTCCAGTTTTGCCGGCTGGTTGCTGACAAACTTGTGGAGGTGAGAATGTTGCAAAGCTTTCCACACCTCTTCATCAGTGTAGCTCTCAAAGGGGTCCAGGTTCATCCTCAGTGTGCCAGAGAACAGCACAGGCTCCTTTGGCAGAGAGAACGAGAGCAATCCTGTATTTATTTGGTTTTGGTGGCTTGGGAGTATGTTTAGTAGCTTTAAGTCATGTGCAGTAGAAACAGTATTCACATTATTATTTTAAGATTACATTAAGAAATCCAAAACCCAAATATGACATTTACAAACAGAATTGAATTCATGTTCTGTTCAGGAATAGTCACTGGCTGTCTTGGTGAGAGTCAGATAAGCAGATTGATGTAATTCTCATATCTGTACACTACATATGAAGCTAGGACCAGCAAATGATAAACTTAGCTTAGCATAAAGACTGGAAACAGCTAGCCTGGCTCTGTCTGAAGGTAAAAAGAGTTATGTGCTGGGACAATTTCAAGTGACTTCTGGCGGCTGCTGGTTGCTTGACAACCTCATAATGACACCAGGGAGTCACTGCTCCCAACAAGGAACAGTTCCAGCACAGAACTCCCAGTAAAACCACAACTTGTAGTTTTGACATTGTGATTTTTGTATGGATTGAGCAACTGACATAAAATATGTTCATTAGTGTGCTTTAGATTAAATATATATCAGCTCATCTAACTCCTGGCAAGAAACCAAATAAGCGTATTTGCCAAAACTATTCCTTTAAAGGCAGACACAAAATATACTAGGGATTTAAGCTGCTGATAAAAACTTATATTTTATCTTTAACTCAAAAATGAATCACTAGTCATTTTAGCACTAAAATGTTCATTCATTTTTCATTTGCTAGAGACTCAGAGAGGTGAACAACAACCACAGCCTGGAACACAATCTGATGAAGGCTGCTACTATCCTGCCATGCATTATATCATAAATATATTATATTTCCATCAGAAGTACTAGGCTTTAAATTTTGATATCTGTTAAATGAGAAGTTTTTCCTCACCCTTGTCTTATGTGTGTGTGTTAGTGTGTGTGTGTGTGTGTGTGTGTGTGTGTGTGTGTGTGAGTGAGTGTGTGCTGTGTACCTGTGGAATGATGGTGAGTTTGGACCTCAGGTCGTGCAGACCTATCTCAGATATCTTCACCTCGTCGATGGTGATGTCTCCTGCTGCAGCTTCCAGCAATCGGAAGAGGCAGAGCGTCATTGAGGACTTGCCGGCCCCTGTACGACCCACAATGCCAATCTGTACAGAAACATACACAGAGCTCTGATTAATGAAGCCAGCCTGTTGATCCACTTATTCTTTATTGATCGCCTTGTCAAACCCTCCCCACCTTCTCTCCTCCTTTGACGTTCAGTGTGAGTTTCTTCAGGACGAGGTCCAGTCCCTCTCTGTATCGAACGCTGTAGTCTTGGAATGCCACGTTTCCCTCCATGGGCCATTCAGGTGGGGGCTTCTTGTCCTCCACCTCCCAGGGAGCCTATGAACACAAACGCAGCATTTGTGACCAGGAAAACTTTCTGAACAACTCATTACCCTGCTGGGCTTTTTGCAGAGTTGATTTGTTTATCATTCTAAACACTCGGAGAGTTGGACTTCTGTGCGTGCAGAGTCACTCAGAGCTGCCAAACATTTATTTCCCCTCTGGGACACACTGGATGCTCCAAACAAAGGCTTTCACTAACAACTATACCAGCTCTAGAAGGGGCACATAGAGTGATGGCTGCTGAAAAAGTACACTGTGTACAGTACAAATGCCCTGTTAGTCTTATGTATCAGAGGGGCCCTTGTTGGCACCAGGTAATCTTAACATTTCTGGATCTAGTTATAGTTTATAGGTCCTGTGTTGTTTGAGAACATGACTTGGCAGCAGGACAGTTTTTTGGAATGTGGGTAAATTCCTGCTTTTAACTGCAGCACGAAGCCAACACTATTTTACTTTTGAAAGCAAACACATGCACAGTCCAACTGCAGCTTCTGTGGAATATTCGAAGGGAGCAGAAGAGGACATAATGTGTATGTACACAAAAAACACACACATACCTCTGTCTTGGTCTCAGAGTACTCCTTCACTCTCTCCACCGCTACTATGTTGTTCTCCAGATCTGAAGTCATTCGCACCATCCAGTTCAGAGACATGGTCACCTACAACATTAATGCAGTCTTTCGAGTGTTGTTTAAAAGCTCTTTCTATGCCATATAACTTATTTCAGTAATCCCCAGTAAGCACTCCTGCTGTTGCCTGGGGGGACGTGGATTAGCTCAACTAATTTGAAAAACTATAAATTATAATTAGACTTATATATTCACATATAAAAGTCAGCTGTGCGTGAAAACGTTAGCAGGCGGAGCAGAGAGGGCTAAATAGTTAGCTGAAAGAATGAATAGTTCAAATAGCTTAAATTCATAGATACATTGTTAAAATAGTTAGCTAAGATCATGAATAAATGGGTCAAAACGTCAACTTCTGCTCTCCATCTGGTAGTAGTACACATAGTAGTACAATCCATACCAACCTAAATTAACAATTCAATTGTATGAACTATTAACAATATCCACGTTTATAATTCAACAGTGTTGAACTGCAGATTTGGGTGTTAATTCTCTGTGACTTGGTTATAAGAGTGGCTCCTTTCCCTTTGCCCCTAGTAATTTGACCCAATATAAAACTAATACGTTTTTGTAACTTTAACATCGGACGTGGGGAACACTGACTCAACACTAAACATTTAAAAAACTGGTGACATATACATACTGTATCAAAAAAGACAGCATATATTGTCCTAGCTACCTATCTATGCTAGGGCTCATAAAACTAACCCCAGCTGCTGATTTGTTAACAGTTCAATGCTACAGATCCTCATAGATCAGCTCATATTACAGTTGTTAGTTCGTAGCGTACCTGTAGAGCGTAAGACACTGACAGACCCACG